AAGCACCCATACAAGAGTCCTGGCAAGTCAGCTGGTGTGATAGGTGCAGAGAGAAGGGAGACTTTGCAATGTCCAGCGTCAGTGGGCATGAGCAGAAATAAGGACTGTCAGGCATCGTCATTAAGAGTGTAAACTGGTACAACAATTTTGGGAGCCGATGAATGGCTATTAGTTTCTCTCAGCCTGCATGTAGAACCTCAGTGTATTTTCTTTTTCTGTTTTTTATTGTGGTAAATATACATACGAAGTCCCTGGATGTTAAGAGAGTCCTGGGTGACGCAAATGGTTACGCACTCGGCTGCTAACTGAAAGTTTGTAGGTTCAAGTCCACCCAGAGACTCCTTGGAAGAAAGGACTGGCAATCTACTTTTGAAAAATCAGCCATTGAAAACCCTATGGAGGACAATTCTACTCTGACACACACGGGGCTACCGAAAATCGGAATCAACTCCATGGCAAATGGCTGAAGCATGTATAGATACGTAACAAAACATTTTCCTTTTCAACATTTTTTTGCATTACATTTCCATGACACATTCATCATGTTGTGCAACCATCGCCACTTTCTATTGCAAAATTTTTCCATCACCCTTAACAGAAACTCAGCACCCCTTAAGCTAAAGCTCCCCCTGCCCCTCTCCCTCTCACTTCCAATAACCACTAACAATAAACTTCAGTCTCTATGTATTTGCCAGTTCTAGGTATTAAGTGGGACCAGACGCTGTTTGTCCTTTGGGGACTGATTTATTTCACTCAGTATGTTTTCATGGTTCATCCATGTTGTAGCATGTAGCAATGTTATATACTCTGAGTAGTATGATTTTCTAAGCCTGAGGCTGTGTGACTCACTCAGGTTTACAGGGTGCAGCTGGAAGCTGTCCCAGGGTGGCAGGTCCAGGGTGGAGGCACCTGTTTTATTCTCTTCCTGGAGTACCAAACCACCTCTTTATTCCAAAGACCCTCATTGTTTATGGAGCTCCCAGTGAAAAGGGTTAAAGTCCACCCATTCAGGTGCCATCTCATCATCTGTATAATCTGGGAGCTGCATTCCTGAGCAGCTGGCCCCCTTTCAGTTCCTGCCTAGTTGAGATGTAACTTCTCTGACAGTGTAGCACTTGGGCTCCAAGAATCACAATGTGCCCCCACTCCCTTTCTGCAATTTTCCCTAACAATTAACGCCACACTAACTTGACACTCTCTTTCCTTGTTTGGTTTTGTAAACCCTGGTCCCTTTTTCTATTAATTCCAGACATTAATATTTTCTTTCATGCAACGGCCGCCATTCACCCGTGAAACAGTTTGAACATTATGTAGCTGTCAAGATGCCTGGGGATTACCCAGTATGCCTTGCCTGTGAGAAAGTGACACCGCGGAGGCCTGGTTCTGAGATGTTTATTTTGAGAGTACGCTGACAAGCATGAAGGCCAGATCCCAGAGTGGCAATTCCATTTAATTAAAGGCCTCTTTTTATTATAGTTTTCCCCCACTCTTTTATATATATATATCAAAATGATGGTTAAAGTCTCACTCGCCAGAGGTGTTCTCTTGCGGTCTAAAAGGGGGAGGGGTGGACAGATGTCTTCGCTCGCTAGCGCAGACTGCACTGCACGTCTGAATGCGTTCGCTTTTCGGTTCCCTCTACATCGGCCGCCGAGTGCTGTGTGTGTGTGTGTTCAAGCTTAATAAAGAATGCTGGGCTTCTATCACTGTGTCACCAAACTTAAAACGCGAGCGTTGGATTCACATATGTTTTCATAATTTTCATTTAGTTTAAATTTCTGTATTTTAAAATGAGTACCCATACAACATGGAAGGCTAATTTATTAAAAGTGTGCCTTCGTTGCCCTATTAAGATGTTGAAACAATGTAGGTTGGCTGGCTCTATAGTGATGTTACTTTATTTTCAATTAAAAGAGTTGGGAAACTTATTGCATTCATTTTTCAGTAATTTTTAAGACTGGAGCTAAATAGAAACATTTACAAAAAGGAACTAAAAAATAAAAGGTTGTGATAATTAATGACAGGCATGAAGAATTTGGTAAATGATAGTGATCTAGTAGCTTAATCCATTTTTGATATAACGTTTAGACTATATTGGCCTGACCTCAATATCAGAAATTCAGTTCAATGAATATTCTGAGGGCCTATGTTGGCTACTGACCTAGGCACTTGAGATATGTCAGTGAGCTAAACAGATACTTGGTCTTTGTACACTTATTCATAGTTCTGTGTTTTACAATTATGACATTGTAACAGCTCAAATTTAGATTAGATTTCTTTCTTTGTAGCATTATCTGCCTGGTTTAGTTTGTTCACTCATGGATTGTTCAATCATTTATGTCTTCTTTATTCATCATTCACTAGGTATTAATGAACAAGCATATCCCAGAAACTGTTACATGTCACAAGCATGATGGTACACATGATGTGTGTAACACATACATGCACACACATACACATGCATAGGCAAATAAAAAATATAAATACATTTTTGTGCATTATGCTTGTGATCTGAAAGTGAGGAGGAGGGCCAGTCCTCCGGCCTCCTTTCTGCTCTGGGCACAGTGGCTGGAAGGACATTATTCATTCCTTTTGGAGTCAGTTTCAAAGCTCCCCAGGAGGAGCCAGGCGGGTCAGCAATGTCAGCTCTCCAGCCAGCGGAGGGCCTGGCTGCTCCGAAGTTCAGCTGGCCTGGGTGAAAACAATGTTCGCTGCTTTAGGGCAGGTGCAGCGAGTCAACAAAGAATGGCAACGTTGTCAACTGAATCTCTCCCTCCCAGTTTGTCTTAGTCCACTGCCTCATCTTTTGAGCCTGTGGTTTCAGAGATTGATTGATTATTATTATATTTTAAAGTACAGGGTTCTGTTAAGTCAACCATCTTGCCAAATTCTTGAAAATGGTTTCTTTCCCCTTTTCATGACTCCCTGCTGTTCTTAGGAGGGATGGGCTTCCCCCCAGGATTCTGACATCGTTGGCTGATGCCTGGGGATTTTGCTTCTCGAATGTTTGTGGGTAGCAGAGTGGTGACATATCCACAATGAAATGAAACAGAAAAGCTCAAGGAGTCCATTTATATTCTACCACGAAAGGCATAGAAGAGTCTGTCACGTCTCTCAAATTGTTTCGTTTTTCTCTCCCTTGCACCTCTGGGACCTTCTTTCTCTGCACAGAGACTTTGCCTGGGTATGCGCAGTGGAATACTCTGGGCCAAGGGAAGTGTGAAAGACTGCGCTTAATGGAGGTCTTAGGCTTTTACATATATTTTCAAAACTTGTCTTGCTCTCTTTTTCTTTTAAAGGCACAAGTGATCCCTATGTGAAATTTAAGCTGAATGGGAAGACGCTGTACAAAAGTAAAGTCATATATAAGAACTTGAACCCAGTTTGGGATGAAATAGTTGTATTGCCCATACAAAGGCTTGATCAAAAGCTGCGTGTGAAGGTAACCACAGATGACTTTCAAGCTTTCTCTTTTATAAAAATATTTCTCAACCATCTTCGATGCTCGCTTAAAAGCAAACTTGGCAAAATTAATTGTTTTCTTCTCAAGCACTGGTTAAAAATATTAATATGGAAGGAAATCTTTATACCGTTTGTCAAAGTTGTGTGTTTCTCTCAGATCAGTGAGATATGCTCTACAGAAAATCAGAGGGAAAATAATATCTCCATTGATTGTATTTAAACTTATTGAATGTGGAAGAATTATTACTGGCAGTGGAGTTGTGACAAGTACTAAAATCTTTCTCATTATACTTCACAGTGCTTTAAGCTACCGGTTGTAAGCATCCATTGTTCTAACATCTGGGTTAAAACTGCATGAGTTGAGTGCAGGATGGGATTGCTATAGAATATTTAGAAAATTTCTATTTAATTGGCAGATCTGCTCACCGTGGAAAATACTTAATTTTAATGAGAAACAATTTAAACTACAGAGAGAGGTCCATTGTGCATAACATTATAATGCCTATGAATCCCGTCTTCAATGTATTTTCTGCTGTTGTTTTGGTCTCAGTAGGCAAAACAGACAAGTTTGAATAATTTTGTTCTCTCCACCTAGTTAAAGGGGCTAAATTCCCTTTTAACTGTACTGTGCACATTATTTTTCAATCTAAAAAATTGAATTCAAAATTATCAGTCTATTTCATTTGCTAATAATTGGATAAACATGGTTGGTTTACTATAATCATGTGTTTTACTGTTCCCACCACCCCTTTGTAGGTATATGATCGAGATTTAACCACCTCTGATTTCATGGGTTCTGCGTTTGTAATTCTCAGTAATCTTGAGCTTAACAGGTATTGTATTTTTACCTTCTAATTCTTATGAATGATTCTGTGAGTGAACTCAGAATAACGTTAAATGGAGTTTGTTGAGATCGAATGGCAAAAAAACACATCTGAACAAATGAAACAGTGCTTTAAAATGGAAGTATTACAATTTCTAACATCTTTTCTGTGATTTTTGCTCTCTAGCTCCCAGATATATTAGTCAAGCATTAAATCTTCCATAATGTGTTCTATAAAGTATGTTGGATTTCACACATTCGTTTGTTAATATTCAGGTTCATTAACCTAACTTAAAATTAAAACAAGCATTTAAAACGTGTTTGTAAGGTAGGGAGGGGGACCAGTTAACCAACTGTTGAATTAGTCAATGCCAAAAATTCCTTTATCCTTATGGCTATTGTTTCATTTTCACTGCATTTGGTGCTTTTTTTTTTTTTTTTTTTAACATGGTGTCTAATCCTTATTCAGAGGTAGGAGAATTTTTTCATAAGCTCCCGATGCATTATAAAACTATAGTACTGTCTATGAGTGCTAACATTGTTAATTGTTTTTACTTGTAGAACGACTGAATATATTTTAAAATTGGAAGATCCAAACAGTTTAGAAGATGACATGGGAGTGATTGTCTTAAATTTGAACCTAGTAGTAAAACAGGGTGATTTCAAGAGACATGTAAGTTTGACCTTTTTGTTCTTTTTTTTTTTTTTAAAAAAAAAAAAAACCCTTCATTGCTATTATCCTTTGATTACTGGGCTACCACACCACTGACTTTTTCATAATTTTTTCTTGGGAAAACAAGTAATTTTATAGATACTTAAATTACCTCTCTCTCTTTTGGAAGTCTTTGAGAGAAAATCCATTAAGGAATTATCACTATTTTGGCTAGGGACACCGGTGATAATGTTGTTATTAAAACTTACCTGCTGCTTATGGTTTCCTTATCATAGATTGTCTAAAATATACTTTCACTAAGTGTTAAGGCTTCTCTCTATAATTTTCTTGGGTAGTAGATGACTTAGGCATTATTCGTTTATGGTAAGCAGTTTCTAGGATTTAACTATGCGTTGGTTGTAAATTATTAAGGGGTGCAAGTGTATGTTTGCAGATTTCAATTTCTTCTTCATTGTTTTTGTTTTTACTATAAGCTACCAAGTTTTCTAGGGAGAGTGCTTTGGGGAAGACACAAAATTTAATGCTCTCTGATCTACTTCATGAAAATGTCTAGTAAAGTACTACCCATCGAAGATATCTAAAACACTGCATTTTGTTATATGACCAAGCCTCTATTCTTTTGAGCCCACATGTGGATGTGAGTCATGTTCTTATTTTATATTCTTGAATTATACCTTATAATTACAAGAATTAAAACAAGAATGAAAAGCATCCTTGATTATAACTTATTTGAAAGGTATTTTAAAAGCCCACAAAAATACTTACTTGAAGAAGAAATAAGATGTGTTAAAAATTAGCGTATTTAGAATCCAGTTTGAAAATCTGAAATGTATTTATAAATTAGGCCTCGGATAATACTTCTTAAATTGAGGCATCGGGGTTGCTGAGAATATTCTAAAATAGTCTTTATGTTGACATCACTTCGGCTTCTGGGTTTAATTTATTTTCATGATGAAAATCATGATTGATTTACTAGTAAGCTCACAGAAGTTAGCTTAAAGAAGTACACTATATGGTTGCCTGCAATTTTTCTCTGTCTTGAAAAAAAAGAAGGTAGGACTTCTCATCTCATTTTTTAGAAATACAACCAAACTGAGTTATTAAAGTTAAGCAACCCCTCTGAAGGGATTTAGAGTCCAAATTGAATCTTATCAAGGTTTTAATCTACATGAGCGCCTATGTCAGTTGTTGATTTGGTAATTTTGCAATTCTTCATACTGGTGTTTAAGAATCCTTTCTTACTGTATGTACTTAGGAAAAATGCACAATGACTTTTCAATTGCTGGAGGATCAACTAAATAGTTGCATTATGTAACTCAAATTTTTCACTTTTGATAATTTACTTGATAATAACTTTAAAAAAACTCCATCTACTAATTTTTAAAAAGTGGTACTGTTAAACTCTGAGATGTCAATCAACCTGATGGTTTGATATTAAAAATGTCTCGAAATCATAGTTGAATATTAATTTTTTTCTTGCAAAATAATGAAAGAGGGATTTTCCTTAGCTTCCTCTTAGCTTTGACAATATTACCAGTATATCTGTGACTCTGGACTCACTGTCAATAGGTACATTAAGTGACTGGTTATTTGACCTGGCTGCCAGGGTGTAATACTATGCATGTAAACAGTATCATTTACAACATGGTTCAGCAACTGCCAACTGATATGCTCTAAAAATGTCTTACGTATTTAAACAGAGTTTATAAAGTTGGATAATTTCCCCATGAAAATAGTTACATATTTACATGACTACCCAAGTGAGTTTTTCTATTATCTACTGAATTCTGTTTAGCAGTGATATTGACACTTGAAATATATTTAAATTTTGCCAAAATTTGGAGTTTTAAAGCAATGACATTTCAGTTTCAATTATTTTCTGATTGCAAAACAATTAATACTAGATGCAGCTTTGATTTGTTTTTATAAAACATCTCAAAGGGTATCTTTCTGAACTCCAAATTAGTCGCCACCATTTCTGTCTTACTTATTTTGATCCTTCTTTCTTTTGACTCCTCCTCCTGTGTTTTGCGAAAGTTTGACAGAGTGTTAAAATCCGCTCACTCGTTCATGTATTTTCTGGCTTTCTTTGTTCGTTGTGTGTCTAACAGAGGTCTGAAGCATGGTATGTTTTATGTATATTTTATGGAAGTATTATAGAAACCTGCCTTCACGCATTTGTTTTGATTGGTAGTTTTATTTTCTGTTTGTAGGTTATCAAAGTATAACTGAGCAAGGGATACTTTATCCTGGACTAAATGTGGTTATTCAGCTCGAAGTGCACATTGTGACCCTTGAAGGGTACAATAGATATCAAAAAATGTTTGCCCTTCTTATTGAGTTGAAGTTCACATTTAAAGGTATTCTTATATTAGGTTTTTGAATAGGAGTGACTGATACTCAGGATTGTAGGGCAATAGTTGATTCAATAGGGAATAATTTGTTTGTAAATTTCTATTTTGATCTCAAGTATGATGGAGAGATTTCAGTTTTAATTCTCAGTTTTGTACCCATTTCTCCATCCATCATCTTTGAGATATGGATTCTACACTTTAGAATCAAGTAGATAGAAATTTTAATGGGTATGAAATATCTGAATTTACCCTCGTGTCCAGGGATTTGAATATATGAAAGCATGGTGTAGTTAGCAGGAAAAGCACTGACGGCTGGAAGCCCCATAAACCCGCTATTTGTTTCTTTTTCTTGGTGAAACTAGGACTGTGGTTAGAACTGCGGGCTCTGTTGTAAGACTGCCTGGGTTTGAGTCCCAGCTCCACTTTCTAGCTTCGAGAATGTAAGTGACCCAGTCAAATGCAGAGTTACTTAGCCTTGCTTTCAGCCACAGTTTCCTCATTATATGAAATGGGAATACACAGAGTATCTGTTCCGCGGGGTTGTGCAGATTGAGATAATCAAATACGGTGCTTGGCATGCGGTAGACACTCGATAGATACTAGCTCATAGAATTGTAATAATCAAACTTTAATAGTCATTTTATATTTATTTCCTCGTCTATTTAGTTTATTTTTTATAATTGTTATAAAAATCAAATGATACGTCAAAGGGCCTCAAGCAGCCCTGAGTACCCATACAATGGTATATAATATTTGGTAGTCGAGTTGGGTGAAAATATTTGTCACCATGTGGTTGGAAAAATACAAAAAGAACCAGTTTTAATACCCAAGTCATGGCACCTATAACTTTCTGTTGAGTGTTTAACTCAAAATTTCAGTGTTTTAAATAAAGTTTGTTTTCCATCATTTCTGTACCAACATTCTAGTTACTGGTCACTTGAATGTAAGTGGACTTCCCTGGAAAGCTATTTGCTTTCTGGTTTCTAATGTATTGGGAAGACATATTGGCAAAGCGAATAGGTCATTTACCTAAAGGCATTTTGTTTTTTCGTTCAGCATAATAGTAAATGTGGCTTACTCGATTAAACTTGTAATTGAGTTGTAATCTCCAGAATTTATCCAAGTTTTAACAACTGGTTAGCTGGTTAACCAGCCAGAGTAAAGCTTTTCAGTACTGGATGGTGACAGGAGTAATGAGAGGATTTTGCTGGGAGAAAATTTTAATTGTAGAGAAAATTCAGCAATCTTAGCATGACAAATGAGAGCTCAAAAGAGAACAGTGGTAAAGTTTCTAGCTATTTGAAAATTTTTTTTTCTTCCTTCCCTTAATACTGTATTAGCCTGTTTTTCTTAATTTATGCAAGAATGACTCCAATTTTTCCTATTATTTTGTATATTGACATTTAATCAGTAAAAATAAACAGAATTTTTTCCCCTAATATCTCAAACTGGAAACCTAAACATAAACTAATATTGCCCATGAAGGTATTAAACATTTTCATAATACTGTCTGAATATTTCGAGTAGGAAAAACCTGCCTTTGCGTTTGTTGGAAACACAACATTATAGTGTTTTAAGGTAATTAAAAAAATGAATGTCCTTCAAAGGATCAAACAGTATTCACATGTCCTTGCCTTACCATTGTGGGATACTGTGATAAAACTATGTAACACAGCCTCGTAAATTTGATTTTTCTTTGTTTTTCTAACTTTTGTTTGTTTGTTTGTTTTATTTTTTACTCAGATGTTCTTTCTTTGTAACCTGGCATCTTGGGCCTTAATCATTTGAATGTAGTCTTCACAGTCTGTTATGATAATATCATTATGTTGTTAACGACTCTATTTCTTTCTCTTTTATTTTGCCATTTTTCACCATTCAATGGACATAATCCTTAGCGTTGGTCAAATCGGAAACGGTTAAGTGCCAGCAAGGTAAGTAGACTTGTTCTTTCTTTAGACCGGTTGGTAGAACATTCATCTTTGTAGCAAACACACGTGTAAACATGATTGATGTTGCCGAACCTTTGGATGTAACAACATTCTTTCCTGTTGTTACAAATAAGAGGGTAACCACTTAACTTTTTAGATTTTATTTAATAAAGGCGTAGCCCAGATGTTTAAACTTACACTTGTTTTGGTGGTGACATTTTGTATGTACTGGCCATGTTAGAATGTTACACTTCATTGAGCTTGTAATGTTTAGAGTGTAGTGCAGTTAGATTCAGTCCTTTAGGAAGTTATTTAACGTTAGATAGAAACTAGCTTTAGTGTTATGGGGACAATCAAAAGAACGATTGAGAGGAATATGTGATACACTTTCAAATGTCTCTTATATCCTTTGAAAAATCCAGTTATTGCTTTTTAGTATAAATTTCTTTCAAGATTTCTTCATGAACTACTGGTGACTTTTTATACTGTTGCTACCTTTCTAGGCAATTACACATCAGTGCTCAATTTGCAAAAAGTATAGATGTACCAAGGTAGGAATGCATTTTTAATTTATCACCTTATTCAATTACAAAGTTATGACTTAAGTGATTAAATGGCAAAATTATTATAAAAACAAACAAAACCAAAAAAAGTGTTCGTAACTTATTTTTGCAGTTCTGCACTTGGGGTCCCAATGAGTCACAATCGGCTTGACAGCATCTGGTTTTTGCTACTTTTTAAAGAGAAATAACAAATGAAAAATAATTCCTGTTAGCTGATGCAAGAGTATTTCAGGCTGTTTCTCTAGCTCAGTTTCTGAATGGTGGTGGTGGTGGTGGTGTGTGTGTGTGTGTGTGTGTGTGTGTGTGTGTGTGTGTGCACGTATGTAAGAGAGAGAGGGGCAGAGAAAGATTTTTGAGCTCACTAGCATCAGTCACTTAGGAAGAAAGTTGAGCTTTATAAACTTTGTTTTTGTGAAATTTAAAGAACCTACAGTTCCGACTCAAATAAAATATACATCCTTTGTATTTTGAACACTTCAAAAATAACTACGATGAGACGCTTTGTTATCCTACCAGTTCACTTGGTTCCCAGGACTGGTTCTCTTTTGAAATAAAATTAAGAGAATATAAATAATAATGTAAAGCTCTCTGAAAAATCCCTTCAACTTTTGCTTTATTCTCTTGTAGTCACTAGAGGGTAGAAGAACATCATTTCTCACACAGAAAGGAGCCCGGCCTCTCGCTCTCCCATGTTAAGAGCTTCTGTAGCCATCCAAAGCAGTAAAGTTTCCCAGAATGCTTTGGTGAAACCTGACAAAGCAGTATTTTCTTGTTTATTGATTCTGCTGCTGCACTAAACCCGTGGTACTGTATATCAATAACCATCTTTAGTTAGGGAGCTTTGGTCTGTAGAACAGCACTGGCAGTTTGCGGAAGAACATAAAGGCTAGAAAGAAAAATTGTGAGCTTGGGGAATATTGGAGTCTAGGGAGGACAAGAGAGGTTATGGAAGAATAGCTAAAGGAATGACGAGGGATAGAAAAAATGTTGATGGCCTAGATAAAGATATCAAAAATATGAAGGGAACAGAGGATCCTGGAGAGTAGTATGATGAGATATATATATATATATATATATAGCAGAATATATATATATATATATATAGCAGAATATATATATATATTGCAGAATATATATATATATATATATTTCAGAATTGAGTCTTAGCACTGACACTGAGCTGTGTTTTTCTTTTTTCCTCCCAATCGTGGTAGTTCCTAGAATTTTGCATTCAAGGACTTAATATATGCCCAGACTAAGTACATACGTTTAGTAAAACCTTAGATGAATAAAGTTCATTGAAAGCTACTCGTGGTCTTATTTGGGAGATGCAGTTTATATGTGGATGAAGAATTTCATATTGACTTTTTGCTTCTTGGAGTTTGCAGTTTTGGAGAGAAAAGCTAGATAACTTCTAATTTGCCTTTCGAGCATGAACACATGGGAAATCTATACATGCTGTGATTAAAATGCTATAAAAGTCATTAAAATATCCTGGTCAACCTATCTTTTGGTATTATTAAAATATAAGCTTCTATTTTTGGGATTTCTATATTTTTGAAAAATTATTTAACAGAAGTTTGACATAAAGATTACTCAGCTCTAAGTATCCAAAATTTTACCAGTCCCAACTACTTACATTACCTATAAAATATCATTGACTTTTTCACCTCAATCTTATTCTTATAATAATATAACTTTATTTTGATAATTGCTTCTTAACCCTGTGTCTTAGTCATCTAGTTCTGCTGTAACAGAAATACCACAAGTGGATGGCTTTAACAAAGAGAAATTTATTTCCTCACACTGAAGTAGGCTAAAAGTCCAAACTCAGGGCATCAGCTCCAAGGGAAGGCTTTCTCTCTCTGTCGGCCTTCTCATCAATCTTCCCCTGGACTAGGAGCTTCTCCATGCAGGGACCCCAGGTTCAAAGGATGTGCTCTGCTCCCAGCACTGCTTTCTTGGTGGTGTGAGGTCCCCAACTCTCTGCTTGCTTCCTTTTCCTTTTATCTCTTGTAAGATAAAAGGTGGTGCAGACGACACCCCAGGGAAACTCCGTTTACATTGGATCAGGGACATGACTTTAGTAAGGGTGTTACAATCCCACCCTAATCCTCTTTAACATAAAATTACAATCACAAAATGGAGGACAACCAGACAATAGTTGGAATCATTGCCCAGCCTAATTCATACACACAGTTTTTGGGGGACATAATTCAATCCATGATACCCTGTAAGTTTATAATTTGCATCATCCGAAGGATTCCTGAATAGCAGAGCCTTTGTGGACTCTCTTCTAAGGTGCTTCCTTACTTTTCTCGACTCTGGATTTTAATATAGAATACATACAGCACGCCTTTAAAAATAGGCTTAGGTTTCATCCCAGAGCTTGGTTTATGTTCTCATGAACATTCTTAAATGAGAACTGAGGATCTGATTTAATAGGGCTGGAATAAGATACCCAGTTCTCTTTATATGGTTACTATACATAACCTTCTGTGAGAATGGATTTGATTTCCATTTCTTACTTCTTTTCAACAGAACACTTATAGAGATAGAAAATTAACAGTAATGTCTTCTCTTATAAGGAGTCTTGGTGGTGCAGTGGTTAAGCAGTTGGCTGCTAACGGAAAGGTCAGTGGTTCGAACCAGCTACAGCTTCTTCTAGGTATCCCTGACTGCTCTGCCTCCACTTTTTGCCCTTCTGGCCCAAACCAAAATATATATGTGTATGTGTATATACATATGTGTACATATATATATATATATACATATATATATATATATACACACACACCAATTGCCGTCAAGTCAGTCCGACTCATGACAACGTCATGTGTTTCAGAGTAGAACTGTGCTCCACCGGGTGTTCAATGGCTGGGATTTTTCAGAAATAGATCACCAGGCCTTTCTTCCAAGGTGCCTCTGGATGGATTCAAGTAGTTAACTGTCTGAGCCACCTAGAGACTCCTTTCTCTAGCTCAGGGTCAGCAAATGTTGGCCTGAGGGCAAAATCCAGCCCTAGGTCTGTTTCTGTAAAGTTTTATTGGAGCACCCCTTTTTGTAGGTACTCTCTGTAGCTGACAGCAGATTTGAGTAGTGGCAGCAGAAACCTTATGACTCACAAAGCTGAAAACACCTAGTATCTGGGCCTTTACAGAAGAAGGTTGCTGCCCCTTGCTGTAGCCGGCCATCACTTACCTTTCAGTTTCCCCAGGATTCCGTGTTTGGCCCCTTAGCACCTCCGTCACCTCTGAAACCAGTTTTCTGTATTATATTCCCTGTGTTTTCCATACCTGGAGGGATTTTTCTTTTCCATTGGATTCCGATCCAAAATATAGGGGCTAAGCCTTTGCTTTTGGCTGTATGAACAATTTCTGGAATGTATTGCTTTGTAAGTATGTTGAATTACGTGGTGAAGTTTTCGCTTAAATCTAGGTTATGCCCTTGTCTTCTTTCTCCTTTTCCACTTTTCTCTTCTTTCCCTTTGCTCTGTCTGTCCCTCTTTTTCTGTCTCTCTGAAATCTAGAGCTTATTGCAGGCAGTTAACCTTTCAGAAGGGTGAAATGGTAGAAAAGTTTGGCTTAGGGAAACTGTTTTTGATTTAAAAGAAGGTGTTCTTGTTAACCAGGTGGTAGGATTACCAGTGGTTTCCCTGCCATTTTTTCAGTCCACAGAAAGGAGTGGGTAACTTGGCTACAAGGTGGATCTCAAACCCAAAGAACTATCCTATTGCATGGACCAGCGTCCCCCTCTTTCTGCTGCTTTTCCATATTGGCTATTTGAAGCGCCGACTCAGACTCGTTGTCCCACTGTAGCCCCCTTTGTCAGGGAGCTGGCTAGGTCTTACGAGTGTTTTCTGGAGCATGTGCTCCACCATGGGGTAATGGGCACCTCCTGTCAGTTCTGACTCCTCCTCTGCCCTCCTGTCCCTGGGGTGGCTGACTCTGTGGTCCAGCTGCCTGGCCAGCTGACTGAGATCTAGGAACTCTTGGCAGATTATTGTGGCTATGCTTTAGTCTTTGACTCACTCATAAAGATTGACAGGATTAATATTGCTTCTACGCGCTATGGCAAGATGGGTTTACTTAAGGCTTTTTGTAGATTTATGTACTTTGCAGACAGCACATTTGGAGGTGTGCTACTTTTCCTATTTTTAACTTCTTTAGCTCCATGGCAAGTATCCTGCCACAAGGCTTGTTTGACGTAGGAGAACTTAATTGAAAGAGGACAATCAAAGAATTTGGAAAGGAGCTCTATCTGTTTATCTATTTAGGGGCCCTGGTGGTGCAGTGGTTAAGAATTTGGCTGCTAACCAAAAGGTCAGCAGTTTGAATCCACCAACCACTCCTTGGAAACCCTATGGAGCAGTTCTGCTCTGTCCTATAGGGTCGATATGAGTTGCAATCTTTCTGTTTCTTTTCTTTCCTTCCCTCTTTC